TGTTTTTATGAATAACTACAGAAAAATAAACACCGATGCATCCTTGCTGGATAAATCATCTAAGAAAAGAAAACTGGCCAAATTCACACAGTAATGGATTTCATGGATTATGTAACTACAATTTGGACAGCTACATGGTAAGTAGTTTCTGTTGTGCTTTCTGTTTCTATGTCATATTGTGAATATGTGAGTAGTTTATGTTGTGCTTCTGTTTCTATGTCATATTGTGAATATGTAAGTAGTTTCTGTTCTGCTAGTCAATACCTATATCCAGGGCTGTTCAACTAAGTCAATTTAAGTTTACTCAGATTCCAACATTGTGAAATTAGGGATCGTTATGGGCCAGCAGTCCGAGTCCCAGCTTAGAAAACCATTATTTCATTGCAACCAGCAGTGATCCGCGGGTCACTCGCTAGGCCTCAGCAGGCCAAATTTGGTCCGCGGGCTGACTGTTGAATAGCCATGAGCTTACTGCTATACTTTTTGTGGGCTAGTACTCAGGGGACGGCCGGGGAAAAAAAAAACAACAAAAAAAAACAGGTACTGTCTGAGTGAAAAAGTAACATAACGTTAGCCAGCGGCGGTGACGTCACGTCACTCTGATGACGTCAGTAGCTAGGCCTGTACTAAAGTTAGGGCATGGTTTATCCCACCGGCGATACCGGGGAGCCAGTCTTTCCATAGGTGTCAAAAGGTCTATCCCGATCGTCACCAGCTTTTCCTGATTGTCTTGTGGGCTAGCCACGTACAATAAGAAGGTAAAATAGAGGTCGCAGTTTTCTTCCTGACACTTTTCCTGGAGCTGGCGAGCAGCAAAAATCATGTCAAACTACTAAAATTACAGTATCTGCACTTAAACCAGGGTGGGAAAAGTTGCATGCACATTTTTCTGATAAATATGATTGTAAGTAAAACTTTCAGCAACCTAAACCCTCTAGAAATCAGTTGTATGTCACATATGTAGTCCTTATTCGCACAGACATCAAAACATAGATATAATCGTCCTCATATTTTTTTTCAGTGTCACCTTCAGCATCATCATCATCAAGATGTTGTGCCAATCTAGGCAATATAGGGAAAGCTGTCGACCTTAATGCATCATATTTTTTCTGGCACTGCTATATTGTAGTCGATACATCACCCCACTTATGAATGAACAATCTGTGATTGGTAAAATTGCGCTGTGACACTTTGAACAATGGTTGTGTACATGAATGGATGTTTGTGTCTATGTCCACTAATTTGTTATCACCTGTTATGCTATATCCTAAAGTATTGGCAGTTATATTCTCTGTAACTAGCAATGTTTAGTTCACAAATTTTCGCAGGTATACAATTTCTCAAAATACGATGGCCAGCATCCTAAATTCATACATTTTAGACATACAGTAATGTAGAAATGAATGACTGTCAGTTGTGACAAACGATACATGCCACTTATTTTTCTGTAGCACATTATTACAGTTTTTGTATTGCCAGATTAAAGTATGGTGAGGCACTGCATTATTAAACTGGCACGATAACATTATACGACAAAATTAACTGTAGTAGTCGGAGACAGCCTCCGCAAAGTAAATACATTTTTATTGATAAAATACAAATATGCACTATATAGATACTTACAAAGTTTATCCATTTGTTAGAAAAGTGTGCATCTTATGTATATATTTATAAATTTAGAAAATATATATTTCTTATATATATGATATATATATATATATATATATATATATATATATATATATATATATACACATATATTTATACATATATATATATATGTGTGTGTGTATTCAAATTTAAAAAGCATTTATATTGTATAATAGAGATGAAGAAGATATTGTAATTAAATTGGTACTGCAAACGTAATATGCAGTTGATTATTTGTCACCTTAGTTGTTGTTTTTTTTTAAATATTTTTTTTTATTTGTTTATTTGTGTAAAGGGCCAGTGTTAGCACTAAATCATGAAGTTTACGAAGTGTTTGTTTATTTTTAAATGTGTATTTCCCGTGTGGTTTCCGATGTCTCATTCTGGAGAAAACACGAATAGACCTAATATCCCCCCCCCTCCCCCATTTATGTCATAAATGTCGTCCAGTTAGTGGTATTTTCTTTGAAATCAGAGTGCATCTGCTTCAGAAGCAAGGCAACAATTGTCTGCTTTCACAAAAATAGATACTTAAAACCGGTGTGCACGAAAAATGTGAAGTTCTAAAATAAAACTAAAGTCTGAAAGTGGACGAACAACCATGACTGTCGGAGTTTACAGCTGGCGGGAACTAATCGCACGCCCATTTGTATAATTACTGAAATTGTTGCTAAGAATTCACTTATTTAAAAGAAATTGAATGAAATTCCAAATCTCCTTTGAATAAGTGAATTCTTTGCAACCAGAACTTTTAGCCGGCGTTTACAGCCGGTAAATGTAAAGAAGAGAAAGCAACACCCAATACCCATTAACCGAGTACCGACTGTCCGAACGGTTAAGAACGTCAATTTCTCATTACATAGACCAGGATTCAAATCAACGCTGAGGAACTGGAATTTGTGTTTGTGTGTAAGTGGGGGGTGGGGGGGGGGTGGTGGGAGGGGGGATCAGGGGCCAAAAAAAAAAATAACTAGAACAGCTTTTGGCGACTGCACTAGCGAAACTACCCTAACTACTCAAGCGCAAGAAGTTCTTCTCCTGCATCGCCCTTAGAAATAGTAAATACAGGAGTAAAGACATATCGTTCTTAGATCATTTTCACCAATCAATATGCACTCCAGGAGTATTTTTATACCGGATGTATAAAACCAGAAACTATAAAGTCCCCCAAATACAGCGTATATAATAGGCAACAAACAGACAATGTTTTGATGGGCACTGACAGAAAGAAGTAGAAAGAGAGAAGGAATTATTAGACAACACAGAATTCGAAATCCATTATTACTATTTCGGGAATCGATCATGTCTTTTGATTTATGTCTGTGCCACATAGACAGCATCGTTTCTCAGAACCTGTCATACTTAGGCCAGTCTAAACGTCAGATGGTTTAGTGGTCTCGTTAGACTGCAGCCTCAGCAATTACCAGTTCTGACGCTAACCCAATAGGGTATTATCTGAGAGCAATGGTTCGGTTCAGATTAAGACAAAACCTGTATTTGTTACATTAAAAATGGTATCCACGCACACAGAATGTCAATAACCAGTCCTATCTATCAAGCGTTGGGACTGTAAACCTTTAATAAACGCATAATGATACAAGTGCAGTTGATAATAAAGTTAAGGAATATAATGGTACTGGTGTAGATAGCGTACTGCTATGAAGGTTTGGAGACATCACTAATTGAGGATCTGGCTCATAGAAGAAGAAGCAGGGGTCGACCAACACGACAGTGAATGCAAAAAAGCACCGACACCCTGGACATAATTCACGAATTGGGACATTTGGCAAGTAGCGGGATGGCTCTCTACAGTTCTCACAGATGAGAATGAACACATACAAACATACTGGGACAACCTTGGATTTAAGGTGGACGTCTTCCAGAATGGAAGTTTTTTTTTTTTTCTCCAAAAAGGGACTGCCCAACTGCCGTCAATCGCACAGCATACAATGACATTAATTGTCACAATCATATACATTAGGCTTTAAACGTAGATATCTCAGCATTGGTGTAAATAACAGCACTTGTTTTCTATAGAGTAGTAGTTCATTTTAGCCCACCAGGACATCACACAAGCGATAAAAACCTGATGACACAAAGTGCCACCATGAGGATGAAGATCACCCATAGAGAGGTCCTAGAAACTGCGTTCAGTCATTATATCATATTTATGGCCTGGCAATATTGCGGCCCCTGGCAAGAGCCAGGATGAGGGATCAAGATAAAAAAAATTGCATCACACAAGGGGATACATGAATTTGGCTCTCTCCTTATAACGACGAGCTCGCTGACAAGAACGTTGCCACATAAAATGTGAAACGCAAAAGGAAATGTCAATGAGACTAACTCACGACAGCGTGGTAAACGGCTCGACCACTTCGCCATGGAGACCTGCCGTCCCCCCCCCCCCCACTCCCACACCCCCCTCCCACTTTTTTTTTCCTTTTACGATCCAAAACAAATGTGCATCACAACACACACTGTCGACTATACCTAAAACAGAGAAAGCAGAAAAAAAAAAAAAAAAAACAGTACTGGGAATACAATTGGCCTTTATGAAAACATGATAGCGACTATAAACCATAACTAGTTTTATGTGGTAACACTTTACATCCACCACGTGGGAGCTAGAGCTTTTCATGAAAAGGGAGGGGGGGGGGGGCAGAGAGGGGGGCGGGGAATGAGGGCAGAGGGATGGTCATAAGAAGAACAAAACATACGTGTTTCGTGCTTCATAGAAGCGAGGACATTTGTGGCGGAAACATACGTATGTTACTCTGTCATCTATTGTGTTAGAGAATTAAAGTCACACGAAGTACTTAAATGTGTCATTTTTTTTAGTGCCTGGATCTTTCTTGGTTTTAATATTCAAACAGCTCACTGTGTAACAATTATAATAAAAGGGAGAGGTAGTCTAGGTACATTTGCATATTTTTGAACTAACCTGTGAGAATCGTTACTGTTGGTAATGATGGTAGTTCATTTGTTTTGTTTTTTTAGTCGTATGGAAACACAACTTAAACACCTTCCTTGGTGGAAAGACGGAAAAGTACGAATGATCAAACTTTAATTTCAAAGGGTCATAAATTGGGCACGCAGGCCCGTTTTACTATAAAGGGTCTTGTACCAACTAAGTAGCACATAGCTATCGGGATTACTTAAAGTTAAGTGTCATAAAATGGTGTTAGTAACACGGCAACTAGTGTTTGAAATACTAGACAAAAAGAATAATCTTTAAATCGTATCCCTGTTCATGTTAAAGATTTTCTTGTGCACTCGTTCCAAGTTGCTTGACCAGCTTGTGTCAAATGCAAGGTAGTTTGTGATTTGTTTAACATAGCAGAGTGACAATGGCCGAAGACCGTCCATCACTAACAGTTGTGACAATGAATACTACAAGTTTAAATACAATTGTCGGCGGTTTGTTAAGTGAGGAGTTGAGGTTAATTTGCCAGTGGATTATATATACTGTAGTCTGTCAGTTCATTGATGTGTTTGGAATTGCAACAAACATTATAAACATCATTTGTTTCATTAAGCAAGGCTTCAAGGACTCAGTCAACATTAGTTTACTAGGTAGTACAACTTTAGTCTTCCGTTTCATTCATACATTAAACAATACATTGGTTGCTTTCGTTTTCATCATCATCATCGGTATCACATTCGTCAGTAATTTAACGTTCAATGTGTTGTTAACAAATAAACAACCTACTGTGCTGTCTCTAAACAATAATAATTCGACATTAAAAGACTGGATGAGAGGGGCATATTTGGAGGGTGGGGGGGGGGGGGGTGTTTGTGTCGCTGCAACAGTCAGTGCACAACGGGAGAGTCTATATAAAAAAAAGTTAAAAATAAATAAATAAATAAAACAGAAAACGTTTTTTTTTCTCTCTGCAGATTTTCACAAGAATTAGAATCAAACAGCTACAATTCCCTGGAACCTCGGGTATCGATATTTATAAAAAGAACCAGTTTTATTGGGCATTACACAATTGTTACAAAATGGGTGGTTGTGATACGAGTGATTGGGGAGGGGGAAGGTGGGAATAATGACTGAAGATGGACATTTGCCACGGTGAATGCATGCGAAACAACTGTATCACAAATTATGAAAAGCAAAGATGACAAAGCCAAACAGTTTTGGCCATAATACCACTTCGCGATTTCTCTCCTGAATTATTAATGAACTACTGTTGATAATAACCGGTGATACTTTTGATTTGCTTTTCTATCTTCAAGTCGACATTTCTTGTTGTTACCGTGAGTTCCAATGTTACCGCCTGATTTGTATATACTTCTAACAGAAATAACGTAACTATTTTAAACGAAACTCGGGAACCGTTTGATGAAGGAAACTGAAAGTTGGCATGCAACCTGTTAATAATCAAGTCCTTGTTAAATTTTGTTTTAAAGTCAACAAACATCTAGTTTTCCTTTTGACCTATGTGCGGTATATGACACTTATTTAAAGCAAACAATCAGCATGCTGACAGATAACTGAGTATTGCGAACGTTTCAAAACGTCATAATATAGGAGTTTCACAAGCATTTCACTCTCAGATTGTCATCTCCTTCATAAACATTCGTGAGAAACTTTAAACACAACATTTCATTGTATGCAGGATAGACTATCAAAATAATCACCACGTATCGCTGCACATGTGAACATATTTCCAAGCAGTATCCATGCGTGTGTGTCAAATGGAGTATATTTTTTTAAGACAAGAAGAAAACAAAGGAAACAGGGCACGCTCAACAGAAAAAGGTAGCCGCCAGTATTGACCCTTACACAACCCGTACCAGCCCAGAAAGCAGCAGAAGACAGACCGCGCAGCCACCGAAGAGAACACATAACTATTCCGCCATCTTTACGGACAGTTAACCAAACGGAGGAAGCACCTGACAGCAGAAGCAGCTACGAGGAGACCCCCACCCATCCCCGTTTCAGGCCGCCCCAGGCAAAAATGGCAGTCCTTTTTAGGGCTGCCAGTTCCACTCCCTAAAAAACCGGAAACCGGCCAGCAAGCCTGACCACGCTGACCTGATGCTACAAATAATCAAAACTTAGGCGAAAATAATAGCCCCATAGAAACAAACTCAAATCAGATAGCAAAGACAGCTCTCTTCGATAAAGTAGGCCTTCGGGCGGCTGAAAGAGGACCAAGTTTGAAATTTTTTTTTTTTTTTAATCCAGTATCCAGTAACCCCTTGGTGGAATGACTCCTAGATATAGAGGTTAGACACGAATATAATAAATAAGTGGCTGTGGACCAGAACAGGTGATGGTCATTGAGAGGAGGCGAGTTGGTGGCACAGCTAACTCTATAAAATACCTTAAAACTCTACGACGTGCCAGTCGGCAAAAAAGAGGTGCCATAACCTCTCCCACGTGCTGCCTTTGCAGGGTAAGTCTCTTTAGACAAAGGCTATTGGAGTCAAACCGTATACAAACCGGCGAAAGTCAGGGGTAACCACCGCTGGATAATCCCTAGAAAATCATGCCTCGAAATATAACGAATTGAGATAGCGGATTCTGGAGAGTCGTGATTGCCCACGCCAGTCAGCAAGGCACCTAATGATGACGATGATGCGCTAGAAAAATGTGCAATTCCAGAAGAGTAAGCATTATTCTTAGCAATGATAAACTCCTGACGCTCAGGTAGCTAGTTACCTAGCTTTAAAGTAGGGGTGCATCTGCCTGAGAGGCAAGAGACCAACAATCTGCATAACAAAAATCCAGATCAGTTAAACGAAAGTGCACGCAACAGTCAGGTCTACAGCAAGAATGAATTCCAGAAGTGGTCAAACTGCCATAACTTTCCACTTAGTTTTACAATCGGCGAATGCTAAAAAAGAAGATAAGAAGCTGACCATCTGTTTAGTTATACGTGGCAATGAACGTGCAGATTATCTGGCGGGCACAGCAGTTGCTATGTCTGGTTGGCACTGAACAGGAATGATGTCATCAGTACCATGTGAGACACACAACCCCGAAGAAGATCACATAGAGCTTAGTATCCTTGTCCAGAATGGTGCATATGGGAGTGCAGCCTGGAGCAGACAGATATGGTCATTTTCCTAACGGCACAAATATGGTAGAGGACATTTTTTTCCAGACCTTTTCGCGTGGTGGTTAGCTGACTTGACATGTTTTACAGACTAATTGACATTGCTGGGTGATGTGGTCAGCACCACGCCTGCTGCCTTTACCTCCAATGACTATACCGGAAACCGACTGTTTGCTGGTTAGCCTAGTAGCCAACTAATTGCTATTCCTTAAATTCCGGCTACATCAGGACTGAAACCCAACCTTCAGATCCACAATATAACGTCTATTCCTTTAACCAGGGGGGTTCCTAAGGGCACAAGGTGTCAATTTAATCGTCACAGAACAGGCATCATTAGCCATTTTACGCATGTAAAGTTACTGAGGAGAAGATCAGAGCAACTGTTGATATGTCCTGGGTGTTGTGATGTTAATCCTCTTTAATTCTTAGTCACTAATACTATATTATTACCTCTGTTACAATCTCTAGGCCTTGCCTTCGCTGACTTGTGTTGCCTAACGACTCTGGTTTGGACCAACATATGTTATACTCCAGCATTTAGCGAGTATGATTTACCTTTCGACCCTATAGAACTTCAATACCTGACAAGTGGAATGCTTAACACAACGTTTGCGAGAATCACTGGATGGATAACAGCGATGATTACCCTAGAGAGATGTCTGTGCATAACAGTGCCACTAAAGGTTAGATAATGTGTGTAATAAATGGTTGGTTACTTGATTCATCCATTGAATTATATACTTATAATAGAACTATATTGTTAAATTAAAATCATTATCGCTTCATTAAGAATATATATGTATGCGTGTGCCTGTGTGAAGGTGTCTGCGCGCGCGCAAGTCTGTTCATTTCGCTATTCAGAATCTATATGAGCGCACCATTTTTTATTGTTCCATACAACGCACATATAATGCATGTTTAACCGATCCACGTGTAACATAATTTGGGCTTTCGCATATGATCAGGCATTGTTACAAGTCACCAAGGTGTTCAAAAATATGAACTACTAAATTAACACTTCAAATTACAAGTTCTTTCCATCGGCATCATAGGTGTCCGAGCTGAAAACATAATGATACGTATGCAAATATAAGTGAGAAATGAAAGACAAAGTACAAAGGGCAAATGCTATCAGCTACCAGTTTACCCAATTGCTTAGACAGTTCAAGCAAAACAGCGATCGATTAATAGAATCTTCATTCCTGTCTTAGGCTAGCAATGTCAATCATGGAACATGAATAGGGTACTAGAATAAAAAAAAATTAACTACCTGTGAATCGCGCTGTCTGTATAATTTACGAATACTTGCAATAGACAGACATTTTTTAACAAGACCATCTATGAATTATATTGAAAGTCAAAGAAGAAAATGTTTCAGCTATCTAGTGAGAATTCAGACAGACTAACCTGCATATGCGACTGTTGACAGCATAACGTGTGGTAGAAAGGCGACTAGAAGAGATGGCTATAGTTAACAAATCTACCATCCAAGAAGCGCAGATAAACACAGAAAACCACGACACTGGGCTACAACCTGGTATCATTAGGAGAACATTAGATTCGTTTACTTTCTTTTTGTCTGCAACAATCTACACGTGATTAACTTTGGCATGTAACAGCAACATTCCATATTCCCACATTTTGCCAAATTGAACAGTGCTGACTTTTAATTAAATATTTTTTTTTTTAATTTGCGGTAAGTAACTATTGGATCTGAACCTAGGTCGACCCAGCCTTGAGGGGTAGCATGTAAAAATCCTTGGACGTAAAGGCGTCCAGCGTGATGTTACTGACCACAACACACCAAGTGCCAATGGCCTACAAAATATAGGTCTAACCCTAAACGTCAAATACTTTAATAGGCGTGGAAAGTAGTGCTTTAATTTAACTGGAGATGCGACCCATTGTCTGCATAGGGTGAATTGTGAGCAATAAGTGTCAGCAGCCCTGACACAGAGAACAAAACTGGGACGGGAGAACCTCAGATCTTCGCCCGCGCCCCACACCCTCCCCCTCTTAACCACCCTCGCCATGGTACATGTTTTTTAGACAGGGAAATGAGTAGGGCCTCAACCAGCATATTCCTTGTATTTTTAATAATATTACCTATAATAAAAATATCATGGTTAAAGTTAGCTGTTCAGCCTCCTTCTTCCTTAAGAATATATTGTGAGGGTAGACCCCCCCCCCCCCTCCCCATCTCACAATTTATCCACATTTAAGGGTAGTTGATGGAGTTGGCGGGGGGGGGGGGGGCAGAGGTCTGAAATGGTAGGTCTTTTTATTTTGTTTATTAGGTATTTTGTTTATTACTTTCCTAAGGTCAGAAGCATCGTTACTCCCAGAAGAGTGCTGATCACCATCACAGTCATCTTCATCCTTCTATTAGCAAGTGTTTCACCGCTCTACGTTGTTAACGGACTGGGCATGAAGTTCTATCAAACAAGAAACAGAACACTGCTGGGACTGGTCTACACCACTAACAAAGAAGCCGTAGAACAGATTTCATTTGGAATCAATAACGTC